TAGTATACAATGTGTAGTAGTGTAGTATGTATACAATGTGTAGTAGTAGTGTCAGTGTGTGTGTGGGTAGTGTAGTATACAATGTGTAGTATGTATACAATGTGTAGTAGTGTAGTATGTATACAATGTGTAGTAGTGTAGTATACAATGTGTAGTATGTATACAATGTGTAGTAGTAGTGTCAGTGTGTGTGTGGGTAGTGTAGTATACAATGTAGTAGTAGTGTCAGTGTGTGTGTGTAGACACCACCACCACGAGGCCTGCTACTGCTACTCGTGGTGCCCCATTAGGGGGATGGGCACGAGGCGCCGTCGCGGCACAGAAACTCGCCCGGCCAGGACCGCAACTTCAGCGTAAGAGCCCCTCCCACGTGGTCCCCCCCCCCTCCCACGTGGTCTCCACCCCCCTCCCACGTGGTCTCCACCCCCCCTCCCACGTGGTCTCCACCCCCCCCCCCCCCCACGTGGTCTCCACCCCCCCCCTCCCACGTGGTCTCCACCCCCCCCCTCCCCCCACGTGGTCTCGCTCCCTCCCCTCCCCCATACTCGCAGAGAGGACTAGCTTCCCCCACTCACTCACTCTGTGACCCACTCACTCTGTGACCCACTCACTCACTCCGTGATCCACTCACTCACTCCGTGATCCACTCACTCACTCCGTGATCCACTCACTCACTCCGTGACCCACTCACTCTGTGACCCACTCACTCACTCTGTGACCCACTCACTCTGTGATCCACTCACTCACTCTGTGACCCACTCACTCACTCCGTGATCCACTCACTCCGTGATCCACTCACTCACTCCGTGATCCACTCACTCACTCCGTGACCCACTCACTCTGTGACCCACTCACTCACTCTGTGATCCACTCACTCTGTGACCCACTCACTCACTCCGTGATCCACTCACTCTGTGACCCACTCACTCACTCCGTGATCCACTCACTCACTCCGTGATCCACTCACTCACTCTGTGATCCACTCACTCACTCTGTGATCCACTCACTCTGTGATCCACTCACTCTGTGACCCACTCACTCTGTGACCCACTCACTCTGTGACCCACTCACTCACTCTGTGACCCACTCACTCTGTGACCCACTCACTCTGTGACCCACTCACTCTGTGACCCACTCACTCTGTGACCCACTCACTCTGTCATCCACTCACTCTGTGACTCACTCACTCACTCTGTGACCCACTCACTCTGTGACCCACTCACTCACTCTGTGACCCACTCACTCACTCCGTGATCCACTCACTCTGTGACCCACTCACTCACTCTGTGACCCACTCACTCTGTGACCCACTCACTCCGTCATCCACTCACTCTGTGACCCACTCACTCACTCACTCTGTGACCCACTCACTCTGTGACCCACTCACTCGCTCTGTGACCCACTCACTCACTCCGTGATCCACTCACTCTGTGACCCACTGACTCACTCCGTGATCCACTCACGCTGTGACCCACTCACTCACTCTGTGATCCACTCACTCATTCTGTGACCCACTCACTCACTCTGTGATCCACTCACTCACTCTGTGACCCACTCACTCTGTGACCCACTCACTCCATCATCCACTCACTCTGTGACCCACTCACTCTGTGACCCACTCACTCCGTCATCCACTCACTCTGTGACCCACTCACTCACTCACTCTGTGACCCACTCACTCTGTGACCCACTCACTCACTCACTCTGTGACCCACTCACTCACTCTGTGACCCACTCACTCTGTGACCCACTCACTCTGTGACCCACTCACTCTGTGACCCACTCACTCTGTGACCCACTCACTCCGTCATCCACTCACTCTGTGACCCACTCACTCACTCACTCTGTGACCCACTCACTCACTCTGTGACCCACTCACTCTGTGACCCACTCACTCTGTGACCCCACTCACTCTGTGACCCACTCACTCACTCTGTGACCCACTCACTCACTCTGTGACCCACTCACTCAACTCACCACTCTGTGACCCCTCACTCACTCTGTGACCCACTCACTCACTCTGTGACCCACTCACTCACTCTGTGACCCACTCACTCTGTCATCCACTCACTCTGTGACCCACTCACTCACTCTGTGACCCACTCACTCACTCTGTGACCCACTCACTTCACTCTGTGACCCACTCACTCACTCTGTGACCCACTCACTCACTCTGTGACCCACTCACTCACTGTGACCCACTCACTCACTCTGTGACCCACTCACTCACTCTGTGACCCACTCACTCTGTGACCCACTCACTCGCTCTGTGACCCACTCACTCGCTCTGTGACCCACTCACTCACTCTGTGATCCACTCACTCTGTGACCCACTCACTCACTCTGTGACCCACTCACTCTGTGACCCACTCACTCGCTCTGTGACCCACTCACTCATTCCGTGATCCACTCACTCTGTGACCCACTCACTCACTCTGTGATCCACTCACTCTGTGACCCACTCACTCACTCTGTGACCCACTCACTCTGTGACCCACTCACTCGCTCTGTGACCCACTCACTCACTCCGTGATCCACTCACTCTGTGACCCACTCACTCTGTGACCCACTCACTCTGTGACCCACTCACTCTGTGACCCACTCACTCCGTCATCCACTCACTCTGTGACCCACTCACTCACTCACTCTGTGACCCACTCACTCTGTGACCCACTCACTCACTCTGTGACCCACTCACACACTCTGTGACCCACTCACTCACTCTGTGACCCACTCACTCACTCTGTGATCCACCCACTCACTCTGTGACCCACTCACTCACTCTGTGACCCACTCACTCACTCTGTGACCCACTCACTCACTCTGTGACCCACTCACTCACTCTGTGACCCACTCACTCACTCTGTGACCCACTCACTCACTCTGTGACCCACTCACTCACTCTGTGACCCACTCACTCTGTGACCCACTCACTCACTCTGTGACCCACTCACTCACTCTGTGATCCACCCACTCACTCTGTGACCCACTCACTCACTCTGTGACCCACTCACTCACTCTGTGACCCACTCACTCACTCTGTGACCCACTCACTCACTCTGTGACCCACTCACTCACTCTGTGACCCACTCACTCACTCTGTGACCCACTCACTCTGTGACCCACTCACTCACTCTGTGATCCACCCACTCACCAACACACTCACCCAGGCACTCACATATCCAGTTGCTCACTCACATTCACCCATTAAATCAGCCACACACTTACCCACTCCCAAATTCACCGTCACCCACTCACTCATGCACTCACTCACCCACCCAATCAACCAACCACTCAACCATTCACTAAAGTACTCATTCATTCAATCGTGCAATCTCCCCACTCACTCACCTACTCACTCACTCACCCAATGACTCTCAATCGCCCACCTCTTCACCAAAATCACCCATCGACTCACCAGCTCACCCACCCAACCCACTCACTCACCCACCCAACCATCCTCTAACACACCCACTCACTCACACACTCCGCAAATCACCCACTCACTCACCCACTCGCTCACCCACCCACTCACACACTCGCCAAATCACCCACTCACTCACCCACTCGCTCACCCACCCAACCATCCTCTAACTCACCCACTCGCTCACCACCCACTCACCACTCGCCAAATCACCCACTCACTCACCCACTCGCTCACACACTCACTCACCCACTCGCTCACCCACCCACTCACACACTCGCCAAATCACCCACTCACTCACCCACCCAACCATCCTCTAACCCACCCACTCACTCACACACTCGCCAAATCACCCACTCACTCACCCACTCGCTCACCCACCCAACCATTCTCTAACACACCCACTCACTCACCCACTCGCTCACCCACCCAACCATTCTCTAACCCACCCACTCACCCACCCACTCACTCACCCACCCAACCATCCTCTAACCCACCCACTCGCTCACCCACCCACCCACTCACCCACCCACCCACTCACCCACTCGCCAAATCACCCACTCGCTCACCCACCCAACCATCCTCTAACTCACCCACTCACTCACCCACTCGCTCACCCACTCACTCACACACTCGCCAAATCACCCACTCACTCACCCACTCACTCACCCACCCACCCACTCACTCACCCACCCAACCATCCTCTAACCCACCCACTCGCCAAATCACCCACTCACTCACCCACTCACTCACTCACCCACCCACTCACTCACCCACCCAACCATTCTCTAACCCACCCACTCACTCACCCACTCGCTCACCCAACCATTCTCTAACATACCCACTCACTCACCCACTCACTCACCCACCCAACCATTCTCTAACCCACCCACTCGCTCACCCACTCGCTCACCAACCATTCTCTAACACACCCACTCACTCACCCACTCACTCACCCACCCAACCATTCTCTAACCCACCCACTCACTCACCCACTCGCTCACCCAACCATTCTCTAACACACCCACTCACCCACCCACTCACTCACCCACCCAACCATTCTCTAACCCACTCACTCACTCACCCACTCACTCACCCAACCATTCTCTAACCCACCCACTCACCCACTCACTCACCCACCCAACCATTCTCTAACCCACCCACTCACTCACCCACTCGCCAAATCACCCACTCACTCACCCACTCGCTCACCCACCCAACCATCCTCTAACTCACCCACTCACTCACCCACTCGCTCACCCACTCGCCAAATCACCCACCCACTCGCTCACCCACCCAACCACCCTCTAACCCACCCACTCACTCACCCACTCGCTCACCCACTCGCCAAATCACCCACCCACTCACTCACCCACTCGCTCTCCCACCCAAACACCCTCTAACCCACCCACTCACTCACTCACCCACCCCACTCACTCACCACCCACCCACCCCACTCACTCACCCACCCACCCACTCACTCACCCACCCACTCACTCACCCACCCACTCACCCACCCACCCACCAGCTCCCCTGCCAGGGAGATGAGTCGAGCACGAGTTCGTGGATCTCTTACCAGGAGATGGATTCAGACTTGACGAGTCGATCCCAGATGAGCTCGGCCTTGGTAGGAAACACAAAAGCAACACACACACACATTAGTATGTGCACACACACACATATTCGTGTGCACACACACACGCACATACATTCGTGTGCACACACATATTAGTGCACATGCACATGAGTGTGCACACATAAAACGCACGCACGCATATTAGTGCGCACACAAAGACAAAGGTGCCCCCCCTCCGTGTAGCCTCCACAAGCTGTTGGGGCAAGTGCTGCGAGCGCGTTGCACCTATGAAGGCCAGCTCGGCACGCCAGGGGGATGCCCGGCCGCCTTTGTCTCCCCAGTGCCGACGTAGTTTTGTTTGTGCACCGCACCACACCAGATGCTCGCTTAAGGTTGAGTCGACCTAGGGGAGGCTCAGGACCGCGAATTGGTTCGTGAGCGGCATCGAACCGGGGTCACCGGGTCGGGAGCTCGACGCAGCGTCACACAACCACTGACCCCCACCCCCCCTGGGATTCCCGTCTCTCTCCCCCGTCTCTCTCCCCCGTCTCTCCCCCCCGTCTCTCCCCCCCGTCTCTCCCCCCCGTCTCTCCCCCCCGTCTCTCCCCCCCGTCTCTCCCCCCCGTCTCTCCCCCCCGTCTCTCCCCCCCGTCTCTCCGCATCTCCATCGCTCCCCCATCTCTCTCCCCCATCTCTCTCCCCCATCTCTCTCCCCCATCTCTCTCCCCCATCTCTCTCTCCCATCTCTCTCCCCCATCTCTCTCCCCCCATCTCTCTCCCCCCCATCTCACTCCACCATCTCACTCCACCATCTCACTCCACCATCTCACTCCACCATCTCACTCCACCATCTCACTCCACCATCTCTCTCCACCATCTCACTCCACCATCTCACTCCACCATCTCTCTCCCCCATCTCTCTCCCCCATCTCTCTCCCCCATCTCTCTCCCCCATCTCTCTCCCCCCCGTCTCTCCCCCCCGTCTCTCCCCCCAGTCTCTCCCCCCCGTCTCTCTCCCCCATTCTCTCCCCATCTCGCTCCCCCATCTCTCTCCCCCATCTCTCTCCCCCCAGTCTCTCCCCCCAGTCTCTTCCCCCCGGTCTCTCGCTCCATCTCTCTCCCCCATCTCTCTCCCCCATCTCTCTCCCCCATCTCTCCCCCCCCTCTCTCTCCCCCCCATCTCTCTTCCCCCCATCTCTCCGCTCTCTCCCCCATCTCTCTCCCCCATCTCTCTCCCCCGTCTCTCTCCCCCGTCTCTCTCCCCCGTCTCTCCCCCCCGTCTCTCCCCCCGTCTCTCTCTCCCATCACTCTCCCCCATCTCTCTCCCCCCATCTCTCCCCCCCATCTCTCTCCCCCATCTCTCTCCCCCCATCTCTCCCCCCCATCCTCCCCCCAGTCTCTCCTCCCCCGTCTCTCTCCCCCCGTCTCTCTCCCCCATATCTCTCCCCCCATCTCTCTCCCCCCGTCTCTCCCCCCCATCTCTTCTCTTCCTCCCCATCTCTCTCCCCCATCTCTCTCCCCCCCATCTCTCTCCCCCCCATCTCTCTCTCCCCCCCCATCTCTCTCCCCCTCTCTCCCCCCCCATCTCTCTCCCCCCCCCATCTCTCCCCCCCATCTCTCTCCCCCATCTCTCTCCCCCATCTCTCTCCCCCCCCCCATCTCTCTCCCCCCCATCTCTCTCCCCCCCATCCTCTCTCCCCCCCATCTCTCTCCCCCATCTCTCTCCCCCATCTCTCTCCCCCATCTCTCTCCCCCCCAATATCTCCCCCCAATCTCTCTCCCCCATCTCTCTCCATCTCTCCCCCAATCTCTCTCCCCCATCTCTCCCCCGTCTCTCTCCCTCCCCATCTCTCCCCCTCTCTCCCCCCGTCTCTCTCCCCCGCTCTCTCCCCCCGTCTCTCCCCCCGTCTCTCTCCCCCGTCTCTCTCCCCCGTCTCTCTCCCCCCGTCTCTCCCCCCGTCTCTCCCCCTCTCTCTCCCCCGTCTCTATCCCCCGTCTCTCTCCCCCGTCTCTCTCCCCCGCTCTCCCCCCGTCTCTCTCCCCCGTCTCTCCTCCCCCGTCTCTCTCCCCCGTCTCTCTCCCCCGTCTCTCTCCCCCGTCTCTCTCCCTCCCCCATCTCTCCCCCATTTCTCCCCCATCTCTCTCGTGGCCAGATCCTTGATGCGACGGCCACGTGAGAGGCCATTGAGTTTCGTCGTCTCTCCATTCAGATCCACGCTTCCTCGGCACGCTAGGGGGGGGGGTAACGAGGGGGTAACGAGGGGGTAACGAAGGGGGTAACGAGGGGGGTAACGGGTTGTACACAACAACACCAAGACCCCCCGTCCCCCCTCTGCCTCGCGTGCCAGCCAGGTCTATTGCTGTGAGTCACGAGCGCCTATCGAGGTGGTCACGGCGCCGAGGCGGCGTGGTGGGCCCAAGCCACCTTTGTCTCACCGGCACAGAAGAATGGCCGTGATGTAAAACAACACAACACACCATCAACAACAAACAACACATCACAGCCGTTGTGAACACCCCGAGATAGAGGCAACCCAGAGCCAGGGACTGAATTCGGGTTGTACCTCCGTTGCGCACGACACGGCCGCCGTGAACCCCACCAACCCACACGGCCGTCGTGACCCCACTCACCCACACGGCCATCGTGAACCCACCCACCCACACGGCCATCGTGAACTCCACACGGCCGCCGTGAACCCCACCAACCCACACGGCCGTCGTGAACTCCACACGGCCATCGTGAACCCCACCCACCCACACGGCCGTCGTGAACTCCACACGGCCATCGTGAACCCCACCCACCCACACGGCCGTCGTGAACTCCACATGGCCATCGTGAACCCCACCCACCCACACGGCCTTCGTGACCCCACACGGCCATTGTGAACTCCACACGGCCATCGTGAACCCCACCCACCCACACGGCCATCGTGAACTCCACACGGCCATCGTGACCCCACACGGCCATCGTGAACCCCACCCACCCACACGGCCATCGTGAACTCCACACGGCCATCGTGACCCCACACGGCCATCGTGAACCCCACCCACCCACACGGCCATCGTGACCCCACACGGCCATCGTGACCCCACACGGCCGCCGTGAACCCCACCCACCCACACGGCCATCGTGACCCCACACGGCCATCGTGACTCCACACGGCCATCGTGAACCCCACCCACCCACACGGCCATCGTGAACTCCACACGGCCGCCGTGAACCCCACCCACCCACACGGCCATCGTGACCCCACACGGCCATCGTGAATCCCACCCACCCACACGGCCATCGTGAACTCCACACGGCCGCCGTGAACCCCACCCACCCACACGGCCATCGTGACCCCACACGGCCATCGTGACCCCACACGGCCATCGTGAACCCCACACGGCCATCGTGAACCCCACACGGCCATCGTGACCCCAACACGGCCATCGTGAACCCCACACGGCCATCGTGAACCCCACCCACACGGCCATCGTGAACCCCACACCCACATGGTCATCGTGAACCCCACACGGCCATCGTGACCCCACACGGCCATCGTGAACCCCTCACGGTCATCGTGACCTCACACGGCCATCGTGAACCCCACACGGCCATCGTGACCTCGACACGGCCATCGTGAACCCCACACGGCCATCGTGAACCCCACACGGCCATCGTGAACCCCTCACGGCCATCGTGACCACAACACGGCCATCGTGAACCCCACACGGCCATCGTGACCTCAACACGGCCATCGTGAACCCCACACGGCCATCGTGAACCCCACACGGTCATCGTGAACCCCACACGGCCATCGTGACCCCACACGGCCATCGTGAACCCCACACGGGCATCGTGACCTCACACGGCCATCGTGACCCCACCCTCACGGCCATCGTGACCTCACACGGCCATCGTGAACCCCACACCCACACGGCCGTCGTGAACCCCTCACCCCTACCCCCCCCGGAACCGGGGATCGAACCCCGTCCCGTCGACGTCGCTGGCTCGGAGCCTGACACAGGCCCCACACCGTCAGAGGTGACATCGCAGCCAAGAGTATTCATAACCGGGCCATTCGCAGCGGCAGCGAGCGCTGAAACGAGACCCGGGGAGGAGGAGGAGGCGGAGGAGTGGGGGGGGAGGTGAGGGGAGTGACGCACGAGACACACGCTCTGCCAGCATCAACACGCACACACGCACAAGCACGCACGCTCATGCACACACGCTCATGCACACACGCACAAGCACACACGCTCACGCTCACACGCTCATGCACACACGCACAAGCACACACGCACAAGCACACACGCTCATGCACACACGATCATGCACACACGCACAAGCACACACGCACAAGCACACACGCAGAAGCACAAGCACGCTCATGCATGCTTACGCACACACGCAGAAGCACGCACGCTCATGCACGCTTACGCACACACGTAGAAGCACGCACGCTCATGCACGCTTACGCACACACGCAGAAGCACGCACGCTCATGCACGCTCATGCACGCTTACGCACACACGCAGAAGCACGCACGCTCATGCACGCTTACGCACGCAAACGCACATGCTCGTGCACGCACAAGCATGCACAAGTACACGCACACTCACATGCACAACACGCACGCACACACAATCATGCACGCTCATGCACGCACGCACAATCATGCACATGTACACGCACACTCACATGTACACTCACACGCACGCACACACAATCATGCACACTCACATGCACACACTCACATGCACACACTCACATGCACACTCACACACAATCATGCACAACACGCATGCTCACACAAGCACACACTCACACACGCACACACAATCATGCACACTCACACACGCACACACAATCATGCACACTCTCACATGCACACACAATCATGCACACTCTCACATGCACACTCACACACGCACACACAATCATGCACAACACGCACGCTCACACAAGCACGCACGCGCCCACGGCCACAGTGTGCACGCATGCTGCACAGACACTCACCCGTTCACACGCGCACACACACGCTCTGCTATCACACACACA